CGGGAGGGGGTGAGCCAGGAGAGGCCTGCGTGGAGGAGGAGGCCCGGACCCCAGGCTCGGCCCCACTTTCCAGCAAGTGACCCGGGGACCGTAGCTCGCTCATCTTGTCCCCGGGCAGAGGGCCCCGTCCTTCCTACTGCCCAAGGGTCCTGGGAGGCCCGCACGACAAATGGCTGGCTGGGAGCTGTCACTGCCCAGCCCGTGCGGGTAAGAGGTGGCGGCCTGGTCGCGACGGGGGCTGTGGGTGGAGGAGCTGGCCTGTGCCCCACAGGAGGCCGGCTGGGCCTGGGGCTCGGGGTTTGGTCTGCCCAGAGGCACGGTTCTTCCTCAGGGACGCCCTGGAGGTTACGAGCAAGGACCCACGGCTTCGAGCCCCCCTCCACTTGCCAGCAGGAGTTGGGCCTTTTCCAGGTGTTCCCTCTCTTAATGTTGCAGAGGTTCCCCCCGCCGTGGTCTCGCTGGGCTGGGAGCCCGTGCTCGAGGGGCCCCTCGAGCCCAACCGCAGGCCTCTGGGCCCTGGGAGTAAACGCAGCCGCTGCAGAGTCATCGCAGGGTGGTTTGGGCAAGGGCATGCCCCCACTGTGATGCTTCAGGAGGGGTGTCCCACAGCTGAACTGCCTGGGCACCCATGTCACAGCTCCCTGGGTTCACACAGTGCATCCCTGGGTTTGAACGTTGAGCCAGGTGGGCATGGGGTTGGGGCCTCGGGCTCCGTGGGCACAGTTGCCTTGAGTTTCAGACTGTTGCCACAGGTTGCTCAGGGCCACCCTGGGTGGGTCTCCAGGCTTCTCTGCATCACCCCCTCTTCCTCGGCACTCTGTCCTTCCACCCCTCACCACCCTAGAGTCCTTGGGCCCTCGGTACCAATCTCCTCAACTTGGGGACTCCTCTGGGTCCTGCCTGCTTTCCCCTCCCTCCAGGGCACCCTGGAAATGTCCTCAAGGCAGCAAACTGAGGGTGATCGAAGGGTTCACCCCACTTGTTTCCTCTCAGGGGTGACTGGCTTTCATGGCCTACGGTCCAGTTCCTTGAAAACACTAGGATGGCGATTTTATCTGGGTGGGTTTTCCCTTACTTGCTCTTTCATTCTTCTTTCCTTTTCTTTCTTCCCTCTTTCCTTCCTTTCTTCTTTCTTTTTCTTAAGAGTTATTTATTTACTTGAGAGAGAGAGAGAGAGAGAGAGAGAGAAAGAGCGAGCACGAGTGGGGTGGGGGGGGAGGGAGAGACAATCTCAACCAGACTCTCTACTGAGCAGAGCCGGATGCCAGGCTCGATCTCAGGAGCCCAAGATCACCACCTGAGCCCAAACCAAGAGTCAGATGCTCAAGGACCTGGACCACCCAGGCATCCCCTCCCTTACTCTTTCAGCTGAGAGGGTGTATTCGGTTCTTGTTACTCCGTCTTGGGCAGAAGCAGAATTTGTATTTCTATTATTTTAATGTCCACACGGTTCACAAGTTGGCCCATGCAGTCCCTTGGAATGACTCCTTTGCTATTTAGCACGGTCCCTGACGCTCTCGAAGGCAGCTGGCTACACGAGAATACTCTAAGCCTGTTGTGACGTTTCTGTGCCCCTTCAGGGAGCCCTGGCTCTTTTGGGTAGGAAACAACGAAGCTTTTTTTGTTTAAGTAGGCAACAAACCCAGCATGGAGCCCCATGCGGGACTTGAACTCTCCACCCTGAGATCAAGACCTGAGCTGAGGTCATGAGTCAGATGCCTAACCCGAGGAGCCCCCAGGCGCCCCACCTATTTTGCCACATGCAAAATAAAAGCCCCAGACCCTGAGATAGATGCGTGGCCTCTTCAGCTTAGGCCTCATTTCATATGTAAGGAAATTAAAGTTTAGAAAAGTAGAGTATCTTTCAGCAACAAAGGAGTCGGCCTGCAGCAGGCCAAGTCGACACTACCTACCAAAGCAGCCTGCAGGGAATCCGGGGCCTTCCAGACCCCTTCGTGGGAAAGAAGGCCTCTCGGGGCACCTGGGGGTGGTGGGTTGTGTTGGGAGAGGACTCAGTCTGTTAAGTGACCGACTCTTGATTCTGGCTCAGGTCATGATCTCGGAGTCCCAGGATTAAGCCTCGTGTTGGGCTCCACGCCTATGGGCTCCACGCCAAGCGGAGAGTCGGCTTCAGGATTTTTGTCTCCTTACATCCACATGCCCTACAAATAAATAAATAAGTCTTAAAAAAAAAAAAAACAAGGAAAGCAAAGGCCGTTCTCTCCTGTGCCGTCTCTGCCCTGGGCCATCCACTGGTCTGCACGCACGCCCTCGGACTGGACACTGGGAGACAGGACTGCCTACCTCCTGGCTTTCCCCATCAAGACCCCACAGCCTTTGCTGCTCAAAGCCCATCTATTTCTTAGCATTTTTCTTCTCTCTGCAGGTCTGGAGCCTCCTGACTGAACTCCCACCCCAGCCTCATCACTCCAGCTCCTCAACCAGTGCAGCCTGACTCGAGCTGGAACTTCTCTCCATTTAGCACACGCTGAGGGAGTCACCTGCCCCTCGAAGGAGGCTAGGTCTTAGGGACACAGACCAGCCATGAAGAAGGGCTGCCTGCTCTGTCCTCGGGGAAGCCACAGTCTACAGAGGGGGACAAACAGGTAAACACAGGTGTGAGTACAGTGACAGGTGCCATGAAAGATTGGGGACAGTTAATTACCCAGGAGAGGCGGTAGGGTGTTGGCATGAAAGGTGGTTTGGGAAAGGGGGAGGAGGGGCAAAGACCCACATCTTCCCCAGATCCCTCATGGGAATCCAGGTGAGTCCACAGCAGATGTGGGCTGCTTCCCTACTCCTGCCCGCCCTGGGGAACCCTCAGCGATGCCTGCCTGGCCCTTAGGGAAGGCATGAGGCTGCCGCCCTGGCAGTGGCTCCTCCACTTGCACCAGGGCCCTCACACTTCACCCTCTGGCACCACCTAGAGCCTTGGGGCTGAGGGGGTTGGACATTGGCATCTTTGTCCTGCGCTAGCTGCTGTTCTGGTCCAGGGCCTGGAAGCTGGAAGACCTTCCCTTCACCTTTATTTCCCATGTTCCTCCAGAAGACCTTCCAGTGGTACAGGCAATCAGCCACTCACTGCACAGTGCTCCCTGACCCTTGATCCTCTTTTATTCTGTGAAATGTTCATGTGTTTTCACATCTTACCTGCAGGACAAGCTCTTTGGGGGCAGAAACTAGAACGACTCATCTCTGGGTTTCTGCTCCAACAGGACAGTTCAGTGAAAGTTGTTGGATGGTGGATAAATGGATGGGTGGAGAGGGAGTAGATGGGTGGATGGATGGGGGGGGTAGGTGGATGTGATAGGATCCCCGTCATATGGGATGGGAGCCTGTATTTCAGTGAGTTTATTAGGTTTGCAATAAAACTCCATAAAATACAAGTTTTAGACTTCAGGATAGAACCTGTAGGGATCCCTGGGTGGCGCAGCGGTTTAGCGCCTGTCTTTGGCCCAGGGCGCGATCCTGGAGATCCAGGATCGAATCCCACGTCCGGCTCCCAGTGCATGGAGCCTGCTTCTCCCTCTGCCTATGTCTCTGCCTCTCTCTCTCTCTTTCTGTGTGACTATCATTAATTAAAAAAAAAAAAAAGAACCTGTAGGCTCCAGAGTCCAGAAAAGGGGTGCCCTGGGAAGGCTCCCTGGCTGCCATCAGAACTGCATACTGAGAGCTGAGGAGGACACGTGAGCACTCACCGTCACTATATAGGACTGTCATCTCATCGTACATGTGTTACCTTCTCAGTACTCAGCTTGTGGCATCTTGTTTCCCCTTTATCATCTTGCTTGTTGGCCAATTTGTCCTCTGAGCTCAGCAAGACACGCTGGGGAGAAGCCACCTGTTTGCAGAGCCAGCTCAGGACAATCCTGGAACCCACTGCGACCCAAGCTTCTTAGGGAGTGATAAGAGGCCTTTGGGAATGAGCCTTCCTTCAAGGGGACTGTGTCTCACCCCTCTAGGGTGGGGAGTCCCGGTACCTGGGCTATCTCCCAGGACAGGGCCTGGCTTTCAGGAAAATGTCTCAAGTTCCTGTCCATAGAAGTTCCTAAACAAAAAGGCAAATGGAAAGCACGGGAACAGTGGATGTTAAGCCAGGAAACAGAACCTTGGTGACAACAGAGGAAGAACAGCAAGTACAAATTCATGAAGCTGAAGGTACCACACTTGTGGCTGTTCCCCAGAAACAAAGATGTTGGGAGTTGGAAAGACTTTTCTAGGGGGACTGCTGAATGCAAAGCCACCCCGTCCCTGCCACATGCACACATGCACACACGACCAGGAGCAGTGTGGCCTTGGGAATCACACCCCAGGGTGGCCAGCTTTGGAAGGCAGGGAGTCCACAGGACTGCAACAGACTCAGGAGGGAGGAGTCCGGGTGATGCCAAGGTTTTACACCTAAACACTGGATGGACTCACTGTTCTTTTTAAAGACAGTGGGATTGACTGTGAGGAAAGTGAGCGTGGGAGAGAAGATGAGCTTGGTGAAGTTTGAGATGCCGAGAGGACACTCATCAAGTAGACAGCTGGGTATGGTACTCAGTGCTCACGGGAGACGCACAAAGGGCAGATACACACACAGGGGTCTCCACGGTCGAGAGGGTCTTTCTATCTAAGGTCCGAGACTAGAAAAGACCACCATGGTTGTGAGGTGAGTAGGAAAAGAGTCAGGGAGAAGGGGGGCGACCAGCAAAGGAGCAGACAGTGCAGCACGAGGAAAGCAGGAGAGTGTGGCCTGTAGGGGGTGATCAGCTCTGCCCAAAGCTGCTGGCGGACAAGGCCTGAGCTGGAAGTCTCCGCTCCTTTAATGAGCAATGGATGCAAAGTTCCAGCTGGAGCAGGCTCAAGAGAGACCATGCCTCCAAAAGGGAGTGAAGACCACGGTTCTGTGACACCTGTAGAGCTTGGGCTGGGGGTGGGGCATGGGGGGTGAGGGGTGGGGGGTGGGAGGAGAGACTCCCTCCCACGCCAGCTCTTGTCACAGGTTTCCCAGCACACTCAGTCCCATCCTGTGACAACCGGACTGGCGTGAGAGGGGTCACACAGAGGCAGCCTCCTTGCACATATCTTTCATAAAGAACCCTCCAAGGAATCTAAAGGGAGCCCCAGGAGCTGAGCACAACCCCAGGAAACAGAGAGGAGGGTTAAGGAGAGCCCAACTCTTTTCTGAGAAGAAACCGGGTACATTCCGGTGCAGCTGAATGACACAGGACACGAGTCCGGTTTGCAAATCAAAAAAGGTTTATGGGATTCAAAGAAAAAAATTACATCACACATATTTAAATAATAAGTCAAAGTCTGTTACATAAAACGTAATTCCAAAACGTCTTAAATTTTATCACTGAAACTAACTAAAAAGGCTCAAAGTCAAAAAAGATCAGGCAATAAAGTGCACCGGGGGAGGCTGCCACACGCGCCCTGCTCCTGAACCCCAGAGCCGCAGGCGGAGGGCCTCCGTGCTGAGATCACACCAGGCTTCTGGTGCCCAGGACAGTATTTTTCAGATGGAAACTCTCCCAATTTACGGTCTTTCAATCAACAAATGGGAGTCGTTTACAGAAGGTATTTCTACATCTAATCAGGAAATGGAAGCGTAAATCAAAACCATTTTTAACACATCTATTCTTTAGAAACACCACGCTCAGAGAATGAAGTTTAATGTGACAAGTAATCCAGTATTCAAAGACCTTGTATTATCCACCAGAACATTAGTCGGACCTCCAATATTTTGCATAATTAAGAAAAATATCCAAATTTAATGCCATTCAACAGCATATACATAGTCAGAAATGTTTACACTGATTTCAGGTATAAGTGGGAGAAAATACTGGGCGGTGGAGAATGTGAGCTATATACATTTAATCACTGTTCTCTTGCAACTGTATCATCCCATGACCTGCAGGGGAAACTCAACTACGAAGTGTCCAAAAATATTAAAGCCATCTAAACACAGAGCCAGCACTCAGACACGTATGTCGATTAGGAGCTGGTGCAACTTCCTGGATATCAAGCAACACAGTGACTGACCAGGTGATGGTTACCATAAAACCTAATTGTATTTATTCCATATTTCAACCTCACCATTATTTTAATAAAAATAAACGTCAACAACTAAGACACAAAGACAAAATCTAAATACATATACAATAAAAACCCGTTCCCAGGCTCACAAAGCAGTGCAACATTCCTACGTTCCTTGCATGAGCTGTGCTGCCTGGATTCCCAAAGCCGCCCAACGCAAGCAATCTCAGTGGCTTCCTGGACCCCGGGGCTGCGGTCTCTGTAGAATTAAGACCAGAGATCACACGATTCAAAGTTGTACCATGGGTCTATTTTCTAAGCAGACCGCAAAACACCTCATTCCGAGTAATTTTGTTTAATCAATTTCCTTCAAATAAAATGAACGAAAGAAAAGCTGAGTAGTATTACTGCCTTTAGCGTTACTTACATTTCCTATAGTCCTTAACACTTAACAAATAAATGACATCAGAATATTGGAGCTGGACTCTCTGCATGTACACTTCACCTCAGACAAACTGTATTTTTAGTGGAGAGTTCCTCCAACCAATAAGGACATTTTCTTCTCTAAGATACTCTACCCACAAAACACTGTAAGGCCACAGCAAAAGAAGTCAACAGACAATTAACAAAGTGGCTGGATTTGAGTGCTTACATTATCTTTTTTTTTTTTTTTTTTTTTTTTTGGTGTTTGAGGTACAAACAGGAAACTGAGTTGGTTGCTCTCAGCAGAGCAATGGCCCCCAAAGACACAGACACTCAGATCCTACGGCTCACTGTTCAGGTATTTCTCAGGTACTCTGAATGACCCTCTGGGGCACATTCTTCACAAGTCACACCATGGACACAGGTAAATGACTAGTTCTACTTAACCAAAATTTTAATTCCTCGGGCTACAGCCTTAAAGGAATTGTTGCCTGGAATTTCTTGAAAATGCTATGAAAAGGCTAAATGCAAATTCTTCCCCTCCCCCTCCCCCATTTAAGTAGCCCCTATTCAAACCAGTTCTGGTTCTAAAAAATTCTTAGATCTGAACAGCCTGATTACAGACTTGTGGGTTGTTTTTTTTTTTTTTTTTTAATTTTTTTTTGGTGGCTGAAAAACATGCCAAATTTACTAAAAGTAGAGTTATTACGAAAACCATCTGAAAAGAAGACCATAAGATCACCTATCTAGAAATTGGTGATTTGAATACCAACAATATAAATACTTTAATAAAAAACAGTATAAAAATTTGTACCCTGTCTCAGTTTTACAAAACATGAATAGAAAGGCTGTAAAAATCCAGATTTTGTAAACTTTATTGCCGAAACGTCGGTTTGAATGCTGGTGATTCAGATGATCAAATTTTCTTCCATTTCCTCAAAAAAACTTCTGAAACTACAAAAGATACTGAACAGGGTCCCAACCAAAAAGGAAAAGCTAACATACTTTCATAAGAACCAGCTCCCCACTTTCTCCTACCCCCTATTTTTTTTTTTTTTTTTTTTGGAGAGAAAACCATCAGTTCCATTCCTGAAAAAAATGCTTTGAAACTCCCATTGGCAATTCCCTGGCTGACCTTTCACACAGAGGCTGGCGTGCTTACTGGGGGGCTCCCAGGTTTCTCTGCTGAGGCAATTCTGTTCAGCTTGCCAACCTCTGCCTGCCAGCCCGGGATCTTCTTGGTAGTCATGTGGCGCCGGGCATGCTTTGTCAGGTGGTCACTGCGCATGAAACGCCGATCACACACCGGACACACAAACTTCTTCTCCCCAGTGTGAGTTCTTCGGTGGCGAGAGAGTTCGTCGGAACGAGCAAATTTTTTATCACAGCCATCCCAGTTGCAATTAAAAGGCTTCTCTCCTAAAAGGGAAGAAAACAGACACTAAAGAAAACGTAAATGCTCAGCACCTTACTGGAGGGGTTAACCCAAGTCGGTTTTAAATTCCGTTCTTCAGGACGACCTCCTGGCCGAATAGTAGCACGTCTTGACTCCAAATTCTGTTCTTCAAAATCTAAGAAAGCAACGTCCTGTTAACCTGGTATTGAGGTGTTCAAAAGTCAAGAAATCCTCTCCATTTCTTTTTGCCACACCTAAGATATATGTCAGGGCCCAAAGCTGTCAAACGAATCTCACATTTCAAAAGTTTTTTTTTTTTTTAAGACCCATTTGAGAAAGGCAACGAAAGCATGTGCAGGGGGGAGGGTAGAGAGTCTCAAGCAGACTCTGCTGGGCATGGAGCCTGATGCAGCGTTCAATCCCATGACCCTGAGATTGTGACCCAAGAGCTGGACACCCAACTGACCACACCACCCAGGTGCCCCTCAAAACATATTTTTAAATAAAAATAAATCTCTCATTGTTATAGTTTGGGGCAGGGGGAAGATTCGTAAAAGGAATAATTCCTTCCCTCAAAAGTAGAGCTCCTTATGGGCACCCATTGCTCTGACACAGCTGTGACTGTCACACCTAAATACTAGACTCTGCTTCATCTGGTGAGTGGGAGCTGCCACAATTTAGAGCGATCACGTGCTAACTAGAAACCATCAACCTGAAATGTATTTTTTTTAAGATTTTATTTATTCATGAGACGCACAGAGAGAAAGGCAGAGACACAGGCAGAGAGAGGAGAAGCAGGCTCCCTGCAGGGAGCCCGATGCGGGACTTGATCCCAGGACTCTAGGATCATGCCCTGGGCCAAAGGCAGATGCTCAACCACTGAGCCACGAGGCGTCCCAACCTGAAATGTATATTTTGGAAGATGACAGGAACTCCCTGCAGTCCAGCCCTTCCTATGCTGTATTCTACAATCCATTGTCATCCTCCTCTCCCTACAGTTACACTCATGTTTACAGAATGTGAAGTGCACATTTTCCAAGATGCAAAAAGCCTGAGGAGTCTACTGCAACGTAAAGAGAAAATAACATGAGCATCACCCTAAAAATGTATCAAAGGACCACGAGCTTAGAACTACACTACATTTAACGTACTGGGATGAGCACACGGCACATTCTAGAAAAAAGTGATGGGTGTACTAATGTGAACCCCAATCCCTACAAGACTATGAAGGCTTTTCAGAGCCAAAGAAAAACAGCCAGCTCTCCACCTTTTTCAGTGGTGCTTGTGTTTCCCTCCCACTCAAGGAAGGCTCAGGGTGCATTTCTTAAACACAGGATCTGGTTTCCCGATGCCCTACCTGCCGTGTACTCACCTGTGTGGGTGCGAAGATGGGCCTTGAGGTGGGAACTTTTGAAGTAGGTTTTCCGGCAGCCTGGGAAGTTGCAAATGTAATTTCTCCGTCGGGAAAAGTCTACCTGAGGGGCACAGTTTTGACCGGAGGTGATGAACACTGGAGCAGGGGCAAGGGGCAAGAACCTGGGGCTCCCCACAGCCACTACACTGGATGAAGAGGTGGCAGGCTGGGGGAGGGCCACCTGGGGCAGAACCAGCATCACAGCTCCCTGAGGCACAGGGGGTCCCACGAACACAGGCGAGGGCACTGGAGCAGCATGGGGCAGGATGGGTTTGACGGTCCCTGCAGACACCTGGGGAGGAGGCTTCAAAAAAGCCGGTAACATGCCACTCTGTCCGGTCACAGGGATCATTTGGCAGAAGACAGGGGAACCAGAGACAGGGACAGAAATCAGAGGGGTGGCTTTCCTTGGCAAGTCACTTTCATACTTCTTTGGTGAGCAGGTTTGAATTGCAACAGGCCATCCTGCCTGCTGGCCTCTGTCAGCGAGCAGCAGGCCACCAGACTTGTGCAAGCAAGGCTGACACGACACCGGGTTAGTGTTCAGCAGATTGTCTGTGAGTTGTGTGTCCAGCAGAGCTGTGGTATGTCCCAACAACTGTGCTTCTCCTTCTCGGTCGACAGAAAGTTGGCATTCTTGAATGTGGGCAGCAGGAATGTGGCCAAGAGCAGGACTCCCTCCAGTATGGCGGATGACACTCGTCACCATGGGCCTGCAGGAAGGGCCAGGGGCTGGTTCCTGTGGCCCTGGCTTCAAACCAGGAAGGCCCCTCTCCACTTTCCTGCTTGGCACTTCGCCTGCCTCAGCGGAGGCTGGGGGGACGGACGTGACCATGCGTGCTTTGGAATCAGTTACTTGGGCAGGAACAAGTGTCCCTGTCAATGGCTCCACAAGATCAGGGCTCTGAGGAGGAGTCATGCACTTAAAAAAACAAACAAACCAACACAAAACTGTGTGAAAAAGTTGTTTTGGTTAAATTTTAAAAAGGACTTACTTTGATCACAATGCCCCTAATGCCTTTAAAAACTACCTAGAAAAGACTCCTCTCAGCCTGCTCACAACAGCACCCTGTGGATTTCAAGTCTATGTGAGATACTTTACATTCCAGGCTTTTCCCCATTTCCTGATCTCTCCCAAACCAATCCATTTGCTTAGTTTTAAGAATGTCAGTGCCACCCCTGGGCTTGCACAGTTACCAAACTGAGCAATTTAAGTATTAGGACCACAAATGAGAAAGCAAATTTATATTCAAAATAAGAGCTTTTCACAATAGTTTTTGATTCTCAATTTTTTTTTTTAATTTTAAATCCCAAGGCTAATCATTCAACACACACATATCCAGTCCCTACTAGTATCCCTACCAGACACTAGTAAGAATGGGGCACCTGGGTGGTTCAGTGGTTGAACATCTGCCTTCGGCTCAGGTCATGAGCCCAGGGTCCTGGGATTCCTGCAGGAAGCCTGCTTCTCCCTCTGCCTATGTCTCTGTCTCTTTCTCTCATGAATAAATAAAATCTTTTTTTTTTTTTAATTTTTATTTATTTATGATAGTCACACACACAGAGAGAGAGAGAGAGAGAGAGAGAGAGAGGCAGAGGGAGAAGCAGGCTCCATGCACCGGGAGCCCGACGTGGGATTCGATCCCGGGTCTCCAGGATCGCGCCCTGGGCCAAAGGCAGGCGCTAAACCGCAGCGCCACCCAGGGATCCCAAATAAAATCTTTAAAAAAAAAAAAAAAACCAAACCTATCAGAATAATCCCCCAAAGGTCATGCTCTCACCAGTGGCTCTGCCTGAACCAAGCATCTCCTGCAGCACCCAACAACTCCCACTTATTGTCAGCCTCCCTGTAGAAGAGCTGAAGCCATATACCTCCGCGAGGTGCTTGTACAATTCTCTCCACTGCCCACAAGTCCCTTCTCATCCCTCTTCCCACATCTGCTTTCCACACTCTCCTTCCAGTGCAAGCCTCCAGCCTAAGACAATCGGATTCTAATTTTCACTTCTGTTAGCCCATTCTCAACTTCTCCAAGCTGAGAAGCCATCTCTACCAGCCCTTGTGTAGCTCTAGCAAGTTAGGAAAACAAAAACCATGCTTGATTGCACCCAGCTCACACAAGTAGAAGTGGGTTGCTCCAGGGAGGCAGGCGCCAGTATTTCAACCCAGCTAATAGAGGCTGGTGCCAAAGCACAGGCTGTTTCTAGCTGCCACCCACGTATCCTGATCCCAGAATGGGTCATCTGGGGGGAAGCTAAGCCCCCTCTTTGCAATTCCCCAGAGAAGCAAGTACATTTTACCATCTCACATCAATCTGTAGGAGTCCTGTGAACATTTTAACCCTGTGGCTGCAAGCTATGATCTATTAATGGAAAGAACATATTTTCAGTAAGTAAGAGAAATTTTCGCCCTTAGGACCCACCTAGAGGAGGTTATGCACTTGCCTACCAGCAGCCCGATGAACCCACCCATAAATTCTTCAGCACACTTATTTAATATACTTCAGTCACTACACAAAATGTTCTCCTCCCCACTTCTTACCAGAGTTGATAAAGAGTCGAAGTCCTTTGGTAGCTCATGGGCGGCTGCGTCCACATGCACAGTGGTGGTGACATCCCCAGGGTCAGAAACAGGTGTGAGGGGTCTTATCTTTAATAGGTCACCTTTCTGGGATCTTTGACCCCAGGAGCTCATGCAAACAAGAGCCTCAACTGCTTCAATGTCATTCTGCTCCAAGATGCTGCATGTAGACCTTTCGCTATCATGCCTCTTCCTCTCCAGGATTGACTCACAGATGTCCATGATGTCCACCTGAAGGCGACACAACACAACCGGCTTCTCAGTTCAGGGGAAAAGAAAGGGTAACCCCGATGGGCATGCGGGTACACACACCAGGCGCCTGCACTATGATATGCACTTTAACACACACACGATACTCCACACACAACACAATCTGTATTCCAGGAAAACATGCCAACAGAACATTGATGACGATTTCACTTTTAAGCCAATGTTCTGAAAAGTGAAGATGACTGGACTTGAATGGCAAGCATGGAAAACCCTGATATTGAAGAAAAGGTAAGTCTGTGTGTCCTTTGGTAAATGATCAGTAAGACTTGAATCCCCCAGGTGTGAGCCAAAGTGGCCAGTGTGACACTGTCCAGCCAAGAGGAGAAACTGACACCAACTCTTCAGTTGGCTAAGAGGACACATGCTTCTTTAGAATTGGCAAAGCCACCAGAAGAGTGTCCCTACAGATGCATTTTTGCCAACTCTCTGAAGCACTCAGCACGGCCTTCTCAAGTCAGGGCATCACCATACACAGAAGTTTCCAGTGGCTCAACTCCATGGGTGCCAGGAAGTGGGGAGCCCATGCTGGTTGAGCCTTGTTCCTCAGACTCTGAGGAACACTCAGTAACTCCTTACTGCCACAAAGCTAGATAAGATAGATAGAGAAGATTAGAATTTAAAAAATTTTAAAAATCCAGCACAGCCCAGGAAACAGATGTCCTTCCTGTGTGTCACACAGGTCCTTTCAGCAGGGGGAGGGAGGAAGGGGAAGAGAAGCGACTGGAAGCAACTGATCTCTTCCCAAAGACCCTTTACATCTATGAGGATACACGTTTCCACTTGGCTTGCCCAAGCGCCAGGTCTCCCCCACGTTAGGCCCGGAACGTAGCAGCCTTTGCAAGTGCAGCTCTGACCCAGCTTCTGTCTGCACCCCAGGCCTCGGAAACCTGAGATCACAGACGTGGGGCTGCCGCCTGCCTGCTCGCTGGACCACCAGGGGCGCGAGGTCTGTTCTGGAGGCGCACAGGGCTCCCACACCTCTCTCAGGCCCTCTGGGTGCTCGAGTCTCCATGACCAAGGTCCTAGGTGTAGGCCGCCAACTCCCTGCAGCCCTCAGGCCCGACACCCGGCGGCCTGGGTGAGTAGAGAGCCCCACCTCAGCGCACTCAGGCCCCTCCTTGAGGGTGCCATCCCGCCAACCGGCTTGCCTCGCCGCGTCCCCTGAATACCCTCAGCATTCCAGCTTCGCCGGCCCCAACACCTTTCCAGTTTGGCTCCGCCCCCTGCCCCGCCCCCCGCGTGCCACCTTCCCGCCAGCTCCGCCCCCTGCACAGGCCATCTCGGCTTCGCCCCGCCCCTGCCCTGCGTGCCACCTTCCCGCCAGCTTCGCCCCGCCCCTGCCCCGCCCCCTACCCCTTCCCACCGCCCCCTGACCCCCGCGTGCCACCTTCCCGCCCGCTCCGCCCAGCCCCTGCCCGGCCCCCACCCCTTCCCACCGCTCGCTCGCCACCCCCTGCGTGCCACCTTCCCGCCAGCTCCGCCCCTGCCCAGCCCCTGCCCCCGCGTGCCACCTTCCCGCCAGCTCCGCCCCGCCCCTGCCCAGCCCCTGCCCCCGCGTGCCACCTTCCCGCCAGCTTCGGCCCCTGCACAGGCCATCGCAGCTCCGCCCCGCCCCTGCCCGGCCCCCTCTCCCTGCCCACCTTCCCGCCCGCCCCGCCCCTGCCCCGCCCCCACCCCTTCCCACCGCCCGCTCGCCGCCCCGGCCCCCGCGTGCCACCTTCCCGCCCGCCCCTTCCCACCGCCCGCTCGCCGCACCCCCGCCGCCCGCGCGTTGCTCTCCCGCCAGCCGCGCCCCGCCCAACGGCCGCCTCCTTGCACGGCCCGGTGACGTCATGGCTGGAAATAGCCCCGCGCCGGGAGCCGGCGGCCGCTGCGGAAACGCCAGACAAAGCTACGCGCAGGGCGGCGCGGGGCACACGCCCCCGGGCAGCCGGCGCGTCCCCGCGCGGCCGCTGCCCCTCCCGGCTCCGGAGCCCGCAAGGGCCCCCCCCCGGTGCGGACGCGGCCGGGCCCCGCGCCCGCGCCCCCTCCCCGCGCCCAGGCCCCGCACGGGCGGCACGTCCCCGCCTCGCCCTCGTTCGGATGGGCGCTCACTCACCGCACGCGCGTCGCCCGCGCCCCCGGAGCCCGCGGTGTGCATGGTGCCGGCGGCCCGGAGGCAACAAAGCAGCCTCGGGGCGGGAGCTCGGCGCACGGCTGCAGCCGCACGTGCCCCACGGGCGGCGGCCACCGGGAGCTGCTGCGGCCGGCGCGAGCCTCCGCCCGCCCGCGCCGCTCTGCCCCGGCGCGGCCCTCGCGGTGCGGGAGGGGCGGGGCGGCCGCGGAGGGAGCGGCCGCGGGGGCGTGGCGCGAAGGGAAACCAAAATACACCGCGCCCCGCGGGGGCGGGGCCGGGCGCCCGCCAGCCAATCCGCGCGCGGCCTTTGCGCCGCCGGCCAATGGGCGCCGCGGGGCGCCGCGTGATCGGAGCCTGGCCGCGGCGTGATCTGGCCGGGCGGGATGCGGCACGTGTTTTGGTCGGAGTCGGGGGCGGGGCCTGAGGCCCTGGAAAGTAGGGGAAAGGTCCCGGCCGCCGCGGCGGCGGCAGCGCCGGCGGGAGCCCGGCTGGACAGCGGGGCGGCGCCCAGGGCCCGGGGATGTCCCGGGGCCGGCAGGCCGGCGGGGCGCGGGGCGTGCTTAAGGGGGTCCCGCCCGCGGCCGGCCTGGTGCGGGCCCCCGGACGTGGATCGCTCCCGCGCGGAGATCTCACCAGGTTTTGCTTGGTTGTTTGCGTTCCTTTATCTCTGGTTGGCTCCTAGGAGCGCATCCCTGATGGGGAGGAGTTTCGAAAGCGGGCTTGGCTCCAGGTGACGTTCCCGCATCCCCGGCTCCCTTCTGCGGGCGCCCAGAGCCCAGTCTGCCTTTGACGCTCCTTCCCAGGCAGCTCTGGGCTCGTTTCCACTCTCTTAGGCAGGGAGAGGGTGAACCAAGACCTGAAAGGTGCCTGGCGACACCCTCCCATTCTTCCCAGACACCCGTGTCAGCATCACCCCCTCTAAGAAGTCCTCTGACTTGAATGAGAGAGAGACCCACTGGCATCTTTCTCCCTCCCTGTACTTGAGTTGCCCCTGCCTGGGTGTGGCTTACCCACTTCTGCAGCTCTAAGTTCTTGCAGGCTGTTTACTTGTACCCCTACAACCTGCAGCCCCAGCCCCACCCCCGTGGGACAACACTTCATCCACCCACAGGGCGCACAGTTGCTGAGCTGAGATACGGGGTTGGTGCAGCGGAGGGGCAAAGGCCACGGGGAGGAGTCCTCAGCCCTAAAAGCAAATCACTGGGAAAGCGGAGGATCCCATCCCTGCACTGTGGAGACTGTGCTCTGAGCTCTAGAAGCCCAGGGCCCAAGGGACAGGCCACAAGAGCATGCAGGGCTTTCCCTTTCTGCTAGTAAAGCAGTGGGTGAGGCCCAGGGGTCTATGCACTGCCCCTCCCCGCAGGCCTGCTCTGGTGGGGTAGGTTGGGGGGGTAAGCTAACTCCTCTCCGCTTCTCCTTCCGCCCCTTCCCGGCACCTTTCATGACCTGTCGCTTTTCAATTTTACTTATTTGTTAATAAGCTCCCTGCCAGAAGGAACCCTCCCTAGGCTAGGGAGTTTATCTGAGCCACTCTGAAGCCCTGGTGCCTGGCCCAGTGCAGGCACACAGTAGCCATTGGTTGAATGAGCGAATAAAGGCAAACACGGCTCCCTCCCAACTCCCACCCACGCCCCACCCAGTCAACTTGGACATCCTGCAGACACCTCTAATTCCATGTCCTTGACACTGAACTCACAGTCTATCCAGATCTGGACTTCTCCCCATCCGGAAAGGGCATCACCAGATACCCAGAAACCTCACCCAGAGATCGGAGTCACCTTGACTCTTCCCTTTCCTGCACTTGCTTCCCTTTGACAATTCCTTCATGTCCTTCTCCTTCCTAAATATCTTTCACGTTACTAGCGCCTTCTATCACCCACTCATGCCCCAGCCCAGGTCACCATCCTCTCTCACTTGAGTTGTTGCCAACTGCTTCCCAGCACATCTCCCTGCCTCCGGCCTCACTGCTGACCATCCGCCACGCTTTGTCTCACTGCTAGAATGATCTTCTCAACCTAGAGATGGTACCAGAATGGTATGCAAACTCACAGCTGGAAGCGAAGTAGTTCCAAGACTGAACCTCACTCCTTAGGCAAGAGTCCATGACTCTGCATAACTGCCCCAGGCCAGAGCTTTCTGCATCATGCTGACCAGTTCCCCAAATCCCTTTTCATGCCTCCGTTGCTCCAGTACAGAACTCTGTGCCTACAGTCCCCAGCCCCACGTCGGGTCAAGTCACCCTCTTCTGCTTTGCACATGGTGTGCCTTATGCACAGCACATGGCAACCCTTCTCTCCTTTGACTGTGAGACTGTGACTCCTCAGTGAAACCCTCCCTAACTCCCCTACAGCAGGAAGACAACTCAGCAGAATGCCAAGTGCAGGGCCTGGGAGTCAGACCTGGATCCAAACCCCAGCCGTGCCAGTGTGGCCAAGTCATGCGGCTGGAGTGTCTCCGTAGAATAAGAGATGGCAGCTGGTCGCTATGAGCCTGGAACATGAGCTTCTCCACATCAGGCTCTGTGCCTGCTCCCCGGACAGCAGGAATATCTGGAAACTTGGGCAGCAGGCGGGCCCAGGGCTCTTCAAGCAGAAGGCTCTATCCTTCCCTTGTCTAGCCCATGTGACCGACAGGCAGACGGACAGGTCTTTGCTCATGTCAGTCCCTCCTTATTTCTCTCTCACCTCTACCCAGATACTGTTTCTCCACGAAGCCTTTCTTCACACACATACATGCACGCGAGGCTGTGGTGACACCAAGCCCTGGATGCTGGTCCCACGTGGCGTCAGAGGGATAGTGGCATGTTTGTAAACCTAAGACAGCTACAAGTCATTCATTCACTGGGAGACATCACTGATGCCATCATCGGCACCAGACCCTACAGGCCCTCAGATGGGTGTGGACAGACTGGATGTGGGCACACACAATGGCCACTGACCAAACTGCCACCATAGTCCATTGTGACCTTCCAGAATCTGTGCATGCGCAAACATGCCCTTACACGACAGTCTTCGCGCATCTTCTGAACCCTGTTTGGTCATTTCCAAGAAATAAATCTCATGACCTGTAAGGGTTAAATAATGTTCCATTATATGAATGTATCCTAACTTACTTAAGCACCCCTGGTTAAATCAGCAGGGTGTTCAGGTTAATTCCAGCTGCCCAGGACGTGATGTCAGAGCATAGCTGGCCCATGTACGAGGACATCTACAGGATCGCCTCCTACAACTGGAATGGCTGGGTCAACTGTCCCAGCATTTCTTCTCTGCCCTTTTTCCTTTAGATAAACTCCAGTGAAATACAGTACAGATCCAGGAAAATGTGGAAATGAAAGGGTACAACTCACTGAATTTGCACAAGGCACACACTTGATGTCACTGGCACCTGGATCAAGAAACAGAATATCCTAGAAGCCCCACCCTGACCCCAGCCAGGACAATCCCTATCATGGCCTCTAACACCAGAAACTTTTGCATATTTTGAAACTTGTACAGAGAGAATCCTTTGGTTCTCTTTTGAGTCTGGTATGTAGTTGTGTGTAGTTGGAATTATTGTATTCTTGTTGCAGAACGTGCCATGATGCATTGGCCCATTCTTCTGTGGATGGACTTCAGGATTGTTTCCAACCTGGGGCTGCTGGGAATACGGCTGCTGTGACACTTCGGATACATGAGTACGTGCATTTTAAATTTAGAAAGATGGTCATGTTTTCCTGTAAACGTGAACTCGTGCCAATTTATCCCACCAACAATGGACTGCAAAGCCAGTCCCTTATTTCTTCACTAATCCTGGGCCTTCTCAAATTTTCTGACCTTTACCGAGCTAAGTGGAAAAAATGAGAGCTCATACTATCATATTGCATTTCTGTGATGGGAGTTTCCTTCTGAGTTTTTCATATGTTTAGAAGCCATCTTGATTTCTTTTTCCATGGACTTTGGAAGGAATTTTAAATGACAGTACAGAAACTTGAGCATGTTTATATGCTGGAGACAAGGGGCCAGTGGAGAAAAGCGAACGATGCAAGACAGACAGGGGTTGGGAGGACGGGGGGAGGGGGTGAGGGAAGTGTGTTGGGGAGGGCCAGGGGGCCACGCGACAGGAAAGTTGGCCCTGAGCAGGATGAAGGGCTTGCCTTGTGGGAGAACATGGGAAAGGAGAGGAAATGGCTGGAGATCCAGGATGATTCTGGGATGGAGAAGATAGAAGGCCCAGCCAAGGTGTTTATGTATGATCTGCCTTCCTGGTGTGGTGGGAGCTGTCCCTGGGGAGCAGGCCCTGGTGGGATGAGAAAGATTTGGAAATTTGGAACAGACTCAGACAGTGACAGCGATTGCCCACCACCCTGAGGTCCCAGTCATAATGGTGGAGTGACCCTGGACCAAGAATTAGGCTCTTGTCCTAGCTCCAGGGATTAAAGTGTTGGGTCACCTGGGGTGGGCCTCTTCGTCATCTTTGAGCTCAGTTATCTGACTCAGCTCTGTGATTCTAATCTGTCCCAAACTATGATCCAGTTCACTGCCATGGTTTTGTTGCATTTTTTCCCCACGTAGCAAAGTACAATTAAGAGATAATATCCTCTTAATTTTTTTCTTGTTAGAATGTCCTGAGTCTTAGGAAGAGGCAGTGAAAGCAGATGGTACAGAATGCCTTAACCTGTGAAAGCAAAACATTGGCAGCTCCCCATATTTTTTCTGAAGTTTTATGGTCAGTGAAATGCCCAAATGTGGGAATCTGTAGGCTAGATGTTCCCAGAGGCCCATTCTATCTCTGACAGCCAGGATTCTACAAGAGCTGGCTGGACTCCTTTCCATGTTGAACCAGGAGGAGCTGATTTCAAAGCCAGATCAGAAACAGGTGGTTGGAGGGGCGCCCGGGTGGCTCAGTCGGTTAAGCATTTGCCTTCAGCTCAGGTCATGATAGCAGGGTGCTGGGATTGAGCCCCGAATCCGGCTCCCTGCTCAGTGGGGAGCCTGCCTCTCCCTCTCCCTCTGCAGCTCCCCTGCCTGTGCTCCCTCTGTCAAATAAGGGGATACAATCTTGAAAAGAAAGGAAGAAATGAACAAACAGGTGGTTGGAGCTGACTCCACTGCACTCTGGCCCCGGCCTGGGTGCAGCCGAGATGCAAAGACCCACGGCCAGCAGACCCATTCCTCCTCCTGACCCTC